CTGTACATACGCCTCTTTGGAGGAGGAGAGCGATGAAGGCACCAAGGGTGCTGAACTGGTATTGTCGAGTTCCATGAGTTCCGCTTGCAATACTGCCTTCGACTTGTTGCTAGCGAGTTTCCCTTGAGCTTCCAGAAGGTCTTTGAGAAGGAGCGCTTCAATCCGTCATAGCGCTGATCCGCCACTGATATCACTCTGGATCCAAGGAAGGGGACCATCCCACCGAAGATGGATTAAAACCGCCTAGGTCGCCCCTTCCATTTGTGATCAGTTCCAGAGTGATTATAGCTTCTTGCACAGGTTACCACGGTATCACCCAAACACTAGTCAAGACTTAGTAAAGGGTGAAGAAGACTGGTTTTATTATGGCCCCATGGCCCACTTATATACACAGCAAGGGTACAGACAACCACGCCAAGAACACTCCCACAGCATGCCTATGAATCTCTTGTGTCAGCATGACTTAGCATAAAAATATAAAACATCAAAAACACATATAAAAAACATATGGGAACCCCCATATGTCATACATCCCCAGAAAGGTTTTCCTGGAGCGCCCATTGTGTGCGAAAAGTTCCAGCAGGCTGAGTAAGATTTCCAGGTCATGCTCACTATACCTCAGCGGCTAGGGAAGGCTGTTAGCAAGACGCCGATTGGGTGTCCCATCACATACTTTCTCTACAAGTGTTCTGAAGCCATTAGATGTATTGTTTTTGACAACCGAGATGAGTTTTACCTCATGCCTTGCTGTACCTTGTTGTTACATCCAAGCAGCCAATCACAGATCCAGAACATTCATCCTTGGTGTCACTATTCCCATTGAATGTCGCAGACAGTCCCAGACAGGGGAAGCAAGCTTTCGCTGTCTATAATTGCAGTGAGATAAATGCTGAGAAACATGTTACCACCATTTCAAAAACAATCTCTTCTGAGCAGGACTCCGATCCGAATAATCCCCCTCCAAGCACGGCATACGTCCAAGGATAATATGCAGGGTTTACCAATATCATGTTGTTATTATTTCTAATAATAAATATTTATTAATCGCCCATCCTAGTGAATGTGCCGTCCTCAGTGCCCTTGGCCAGTATTCCCATAATGCTCTAACTAATCGGCTTGCTTAGTTCAAAGTCCAGAGCGGCCACAGGAGAACAAAGGTCCGAGTGTCCCTGCCTGTACCATCAGAGTCAGGCCGGGCTCCATTCATGGGACCTAACCGGCGAGCATCAAACAGAGGAATGCTTTCTACTATCCCTGCCATGCCGCTGGGGCGGGCACACGGCCCAGGCATGTTTATTTCTCTCTCTTTTACTTATTGATGAAATCATTGTGTTTTAGCAAAACATGGCTATTAGAAGCTTCATTTGCCATTCATGTTCCTGTTACTGAGCGTTTATTTGTGTACTTGTCCTGAAATATCCTTGTTTTGAAAGAGCCGCTGAAGCCCAGAAAGATGCCTTTAATCTCCGAAGCTGGCACTGTGCTCCCACACACTGTCATGGCATCAACAAATGGACGTGTGCCGTGGAAAAACTAATTGTCATTTTTAATAGTGTCCAGTCGCTAATTGGCAAAGACATAATGCTGATCAAAGAGAAGCGCTGGCAGGACAGAGATGGTATCGTGCCATTCAGTGTTCCTGCCCAGGCTGTGCTCCCTTCAAACAGGATGGCAAGTATGTGATACTGGCACTGGGACATGGTCCTTCCTACTAGCCAGCCCTCTGCCAGGCTGTAATATGGCAGTTACTACCTTGATTTACCAGGCTCTGCTTATAGGGCATAGGTATTTACTAAACCTGGAATTGTGGAGAATTATGGAAATAGGAAATTTTAGGAAAAAACTGCCAAGCCAAGATTAGTCTATACTCTCAGAGGCCACATTTGCTCAAAGAGAAATCACCATTTCTCTAGGAACTTATGTTGAACTTTCCTCGTGTGAAGATCCATTTTTTTTTCTTCAAATTTATATTAAAGATGTTCCTGGTGATGTCACAAACCAGTTAAATCCTGGCACAACCAAGGCACAGACTGCAAATGAGGAAGAGAATAGACACATATACTAATACTAATTTTCAGGGTAGAGTGTGGATTTCAACATTTAAATAAATTTTTCACACCTTATAAACACATATTTGTTATACAGTTGGGAGTAAAAATCAAGGATAGTGGTGGCTCCCCCTGATCACACTGCATGTAGGATCTAATAATGATTCTTGAAGCTCTGTGCATTGTGGATCTTTAACACGGAGCTCGAATGCCTATTACACAGTTTTAGATGAGAGGGAGGTTAATGCTGGTGTTGTGGGCACGTGTCGCATGTATCCCGGATCATGTAAACATGTAGCACGCGTGGAGATGGAGCTTCAGGTTGCTATGTCAACGTTGACCTCTGAACCACCAGATTTTCCTAACTTGCTACGTTCCAATATTTTATTGCTTTTTCCATTTGTCAGGCGGCTTGGCTGAGAGGCTCTTGTCTCTAACATATGAAAGCCAGATGTCAAGACCCTGTTGGTGTAATTAGCAGCTGGCCTCGGATTGCAATATTTGTGCCAAGTTCAGCGGCATATCACCTGCGGTTAATCATCGGGTACCCTGGGGTCCGGTGACATGGGATGTTTCTCCGCTCCCCCACCCGCAACGAGGCTCCCTGGGGATGTAATGGACAGCTGGACATTATACAGTTATTGTGTCTGATTAATACAGGAAAAGAACAAATAGCACAGACTAGGAGATCAGAAACCCAATCTGAGTCTCTGTCATAGGACCTCGATAGTCACAGCCACCTTAATGTGGCAGTATTGGCAAAATAAAAATTAATTATAAACATCTTCATGACCGCTTCACAGAGACTTCCAAACGCTGAGCACTGTCAGTAAACATATAATTTAATAGACAGGAGATATTACACAAAAAGAATGATACATAAAGTGTCACCATATTACGCTGTAATGTACAAGAACTAATAAAAATATACAATTAAATAATGTCAAGTTTAGTTAACTAGTAAATTCTGAACAGAGAGACGTGACAGGATGTCAAAGCCTGTTCTCTTTAGGATACTGGATCATTTAGATATTGTAGCTGAATAATCAGGGTTTACCCTGCTGTGTCTAATGTGTTTTTTTGGGAGGGAGGGAAACAAACACTTTAGACACAACAGGGTAATCCCTAAATCCTGGACTGGTAGGTGGTCCTTGAGGGCTGAGTTGAGAACCCCTGGTTTAAAGGGATACTTACTGCCATTTAGGAGTTTTGCTTCTGTTTAGACAGCCCTAGCCTCACCTCTTGTGGCTGATACTCAAACAGCCTTCATGAAAAAGTTGTTACATTTTCACTCAGAAACTACAGCACACGTATTTACTTTAGATGTTTTTATCTCCTGCTCTGTTACTTGTGCTTTAATCACACTCAGCAGGCTGTTAACAGAGCAGGGGATACGACATTCTAAATTAAACAGACCGTGTAATAAAGGAAGTGTAAATCTTAGATGACTCTTTACAGGAAGTGATTAGGAAGGCTGTGTAAGTCACATACAGGAAGGTGTGACTTGGACTGTATAAACAAAGTGGTTAAACTCCGCAATGGCAGAGAATTGAGCAGTGAGACTGCAGGGGCATGTTCTATACACTAAAACTGAGTCATTAAGATAAAAAGTTGTTTTGGTGACTAGAGTGTACCTCTAAGTCATTGGCGATGTCACAAACTATGGTGTCACCTGTGCCAATCTGACTGCAGCCCCAATGGCCATCACACTCATGTAGGCATTGCATATCTGCCATGTTTTCCAAGACACATATAATTTGCACAAATTGGCAACATATGGAAAGCCTGCCCTGTGATATCTAGGAGTCAAATGCTGCAAGTGGTAAATCAATGAGAAATCCTGCGGCTTATACATTTTGCTTGATAAAGATCCAGTAGGGTCGAATGTGGCAGATAACCCAACATGCACACAGTGTTCCTGAGCTGCTCTCCCATGGGCAGAACATATATAAAGATGTGCTTGCACTATGAATTTTGGGGACTTGTATCTGCTGTAAAAACTGGACACCTGAGCCAAGTCTGAGACTGTGGAACAGGACTCAAAATTAAGGACTGTTGGAAGGTATGTATTGTTGTAGTGTGAAAACAGATTACTGTGAGTTTTATTGGTGTGACGTCTTATTAGACGCACAGGAAATTGGTAGCTCTTATTATTATTATTATGATATTTATAGAGCGCCGTCAAATTCCGCAGCGCTTTACATTGGCTGGACGAACAGACATGTAGTTGTAACCAGACAAATTGGACACACAGGAACAGAGGGGTTGAGGGCCCTGCTCAATGAGCTTACATGCTAGAGGGAGTGGGGTAAAATGACACAAAAGGTAAGGATAGTATTAGACTAGTGACAGTTGCAGAAATGATGGACATTGCTCCAGGAGCTTACACTCTAATGGCAGGGTGGGAGACACAGTGTCTGTGGTCAGCTAGGGGCTGGCGCCAGGCCTTGTGTTTAAGGATGGGTTTTCTAAAAAGATCTGTTCCCTTATGACGTTCTCCCTGAAAGTACAAACCACAATATGTATTTATATACACAAAGGAAGTAAGATGTTCTACAGACGAGCAGATCTATTGCTAAAAAAACACGTTACGTATTGCAGGGGGGCTGATTGCTCTCTATGAAAAGGCAGTACATGCCGTTTCTGAAATCTAAGTTTCACAATGTCCTTATTTTAGTTCCAAACTGTTTTGTTTTTGTGGTGGAATTCAATCTCATACAACGAAGAGCTCAAACCATTCTGGTGGCAATACTGTCTCCTGGGCATCACCAAATGATGTGTTTGCGAGGATATTTGGCTAAAAAATTGACATCTTTTAGTTAGTGAATCACAGCCCTGTTTATGTTTAAAAAAAGGAACAATTACAATAAATATGTTCAGAGAGAGATCACTAAAACATGTCAGTGTTTAGTGAATGAGCCCCCTCGGCTTTCAGTTCACTACAAACAACATTTATTGACTAAAACAGTAATTTCCCTCAGCATTCTTGGTAATAATGGATAACGCTGTGGGTGATACTGTAACCCGATTAGCATTCTGGGTAATAATGGATAACGCTGTGGGTGATACTGTAACCCGATTAGCATTCTGGGTAATAATGGATAACGCTGTTGGTGATACTGTAACCCGATTAGCATTCTGGGTAATAATGGATAACGCTGTTGGTGATACTGTAACCCGATTAGCATTCTGGGTAATAATGGATAACGCTGTTGGTGATACTGTAACCTGATTAGCATTCTGGGTAATAATGGATAACGCTGTGGGTGATACTGTAACCCGATTAGCATTCTGGGTAATAATGGATAACGCTGTGGGTGATACTGTAACCCGATTAGCATTCTGGGTAATAATGGATAACGCTGTGGGTGATACTGTAACCCGATTAGCATTCTGGGTAATAATGGATAACGCTGTGGGTGATACTGTAACCCGATTAGCATTCTGGGTAATAATGGATAACGCTGTTGGTGATACTGTAACCCGATTAGCATTCTGGGTAATAATGGATAACGCTGTGGGTGATACTGTAACCCGATTAGCATTCTGGGTAATAATGGATAACGCTGTGGGTGATACTGTAACCCGATTAGCATTCTGGGTAATAATGGATAACGCTGTGGGTGATACTGTAACCCGATTAGCATTCTGGGTAATAATGGATAACGCTGTGGGTGATACTGTAACCCGATTAGCATTCTGGGTAATAATGGATAACGCTGTGGGTGATACTGTAACCCGATTAGCATTCTGGGTAATAATGGATAACGCTGTGGGTGATACTGTAACCCGATTAGCATTCTGGGTAATAATGGATAACGCTGTGGGTGATACTGTAACCCGATTAGCATTCTGGGTAATAATGGATAACGCTGTGGGTGATACTGTAACCCGATTAGCATTCTGGGTAATAATGATAACGCTGTGGGTGATACTGTAACCCGATTAGCATTCTGGGTAATAATGGATAACGCTGTGGGTGATACTGTAACCCGATTAGCATTCTGGGTAATAATGGATAACGCTGTTGGTGATACTGTAACCCGATTAGCATTCTGGGTAATAATGGATAACGCTGTGGGTGATACTGTAACCCGATTAGCATTCTGGGTAATAATGGATAACGCTGTGGGTGATACTGTAACCCGCTTAGCATTCTGGGTAATAATGGATAACGCTGTGGGTGATACTGTAACCCGATTAGCATTCTGGGTAATAATGGATAACGCTGTGGGTGATACTGTAACCCGATTAGCATTCTGGGTAATAATGGATAACGCTGTGGGTGATACTGTAACCCGCTTAGCATTCTGGGTAATAATGGATAACGCTGTGGGTGATACTGTAACCCGATTAGCATTCTGGGTAATAATGGATAACGCTGTTGGTGATACTGTAACCCGATTAGCATTCTGGGTAATAATGGATAACGCTGTGGGTGATACTGTAACCCGATTAGCATTCTGGGTAATAATGGATAACGCTGTGGGTGATACTGTAACCCGATTAGCATTCTGGTAATAATGAATAACGCTGTGGGTGATACTGTAACCCGCTTAGCATTCTGGGTAATAATGGATAACGCTGTGGGTGATACTGTAACCCGATTAGCATTCTGGGTAATAATGGATAACGCTGTGGGTGATACTGTAACCCGCTTAGCATTCTGGGTAATAATGGATAACGCTGTGGGTGATACATTCTGGGTAATAATGGATAACGCTGTGGGTGATACTGTAACCCGATTAGCATTCTGGGTAATAATGGATAACCCGATTAGCATTCTGGGTAATAATGGATAACGCTGTTGGTGATACTGTAACCCGATTAGCATTCTGGGTAATAATGGATAACGCTGTGTGGGTGATACTGTAACCCGATTAGCATTCTGGGTAATAATGGATAACGCTGTTGGTGATACTGTAACCTGATTGGCATTCTGGGTAATAATGGATAAACTGTGGGTTTTACTGTAATTCCCTGATTAGCATTCTGGGTAATAACTTGAACGCTGTGGGTGATATGAGAACCCGATTAGAACATTCTGGGTAATAATGGACTAACGCTGTGGGCCCGCCGTTCTAGAAAGGATCCCACGAACAGGGGGATTCCGAGCTCCATAACACAGGCCATTCGTGTGTTTGATTCCCTTTTCTTGACCGACTGCAGGGCCAAAATACATGGAACTATTTTCGGATACTTTTGCCATGCAGTCGGTCAAAACTTTAACCCTTTATAATTCCTGAACCCCTGGATCTGGGTGATTTTTGGATATGTTTCACCCAGATCAGGGTTACCAGGGGATGTAACATTTAAAGGGGTATTCCTATGTTTAGGGGTACATCCAGTATCCCAGGGAATTTGTGTCTGTATTAATGGGATTATGTGTCACACTAAGGGGAGGAGATGTGTGGGAGGTAACTGGTACATTATTGGCTGGGGTACTAATTGTTGTGGATCCCTCCCTTGCATGGGAGCATGTCTTAAAAGGAGGCTGTGTGAATAAATCTAGAGATTCTGCTTAACCCTCAAAACGAAGTGTCGTCTTGTTATTGGGGGAATTGGATTGTGTGCTGACTGCCAGGAGTGTAAGCTGTTCGTATTGCTTTTCCTGTTCGGCTGCTTCCAGAGTTCGTGTATTTCTTGTTCGTGAGTTGGGTATTCGTACAGTTTGGAGTTCGGGAAGTTGGTGATTGCAATAGCTGCTGGTCTATGGGAAAGGGGATTATCGCCTAAACGGATTTTATCCCCTTGTGAGAGAAACGGTCCGTTACAATACTGTAACCCGATTAGCATTCTGGGTAATAATGGATAACGCTGTGGGTGATACTGTAACCCGCTTAGCATTCTGGGTAATAATGGATAACGCTGTGGGTGATACTGTAACCCGCTTAGCATTCTGGGTAATAATGGATAACGCTGTGGGTGATACTGTAACCCGATTAGCATTCTGGGTAATAATGGATAACGCTGTGGGTGATACTGTAACCCGATTAGCATTCTGGGTAATAATGGATAACGCTGTGGGTGATACTGTAACCCGATTAGCATTCATTCTGGGTAATAATGGATAACGCTGTGGGTGATACTGTAACCCGATTAGCATTCTGGGTAATAATGGATAACGCTGTGGGTGATACTGTAACCCGATTAGCATTCTGGGTAATAATGGATAACGCTGTGGGTGATACTGTAACCCGATTAGCATTCTGGGTAATAATGGATAACGCTGTGGGTGATACTGTAACCCGAATAGCATTCTGGGTAATAATGGATAACGCTGTGGGTGATACTGTAACCCGTAACATTAGCATTAGCATTCTGGGTAATAATGGATAACGCTGTGGGTGATACTGTAACCCGATTAGCATTCTGGGTAATAATGGATAACGCTGTGGGTGATACTGTAACCCGATTAGCATTCTGGGTAATAATGGATAACGTCGTGGGTGATACTGTAACCCGCTTAGCATTCTGGGTAATAATGGATAACGCTGTTGGTGATACTGTAACCCGATTAGCATTCTGGGTAATAATGGATAACGCTGTTGGTGATACTGTAACCCGATTAGCATTCTGGGTAATAATGGATAGCGCTGTAGGTGATACACTGTAACCAGCTTAGCATTCTGGAGTAATAATGGATAGCGCTGTGGGTGATACTGTAACCAGCAGGCATTCTGGGTAACAATGGATAGCGCTGTGGTGATACTGTAACCCGATAAGCATTCTGGGTAATAATGGATAGCGCTGTAGGTGATACTGTAGCCGATTAGCATTCTAAGGTAATAATGGATAACGCTGTGGGTGATACTGTAACCCGATTAGCATTCTGGGTAATAATGGATAACGCTGTTGGTGATACTGTAACCCGCTTAGCATTCTGGGTAATAATGGATAACGCTGTGGGTGATACTGTAACCCGCTTAGCATTCTGGGTAATAATGGATAACGCGCTGTGGGTGATACTGTAACCCGATTAGCATTCTGGGTAATAATGGATAACGCTGTGGGTGATACTGTAACCCGATTAGCATTCTGGGTAATAATGGATAACGCTGTGGGTGATACTGTAACCCGATAAGCATTCTGGGTAATAATGGATAACGCTGTGGGTGATACTGTAACCCGATTAGCATTCTGGGTAATAATGGATAACGCTGTGGGTGATACTGTAACCCGCTTAGCATTCTGGGTAATAATGGATAACGCTGTGGGTGATACTGTAACCCGCTTAGCATTCTGGGTAATAATGGATAACGCTGTTGGTGATACTGTAACCCGATAGCATTCACAGGTAATAATGGATAGCAGCTGTGGGTGATACTGTAACCCGATTAGCATTCTGGGTAATAATGGATAGCGCTGTAGGTGATACTGCCTTGATTAGCATTCTGGGTAATGTGGATAGCGCTGTGGGTGATACTGTAACCACAGCATTCTGGGTAATAATGGATAGCGCTGTGGTGATGCTGTAACCGGCAGCATTCTACTGGAAATAATGGATAGCGCTGTGGGTGATACTGTAACCGATTAGCATTCTGGGTAATAATGGATAGCAGCTGTGGGTGATACTGCTTAACCCGATTAGCATTCTGGTAGGTAATAATGGATAACGCTGTGGGTGATACTGTAACCCGATTAGCATTCTGGGTAATAATGGATATAGCAGCTGTTGGTGATACTGTAACCAGCTTAGCATTCTGGGTAATAATGGATAACGCTGTGGGTGATACTGTAACCCGATTAGCATTCTGGGTAATAATGGATAACGCTGTTGGTGATACTGTAACCCGCTTAGCATTCTGGGTAATAATGGATAACGCTGTGGGTGATACTGTAACCCGCTTAGCATTCTGGGTAATAATGGATAACGCTGTTGGTGATGCAACCCGATTAGCATTCACAGGTAATAATGGATAGCGCTGTGGGTGATACTGTAGCGATTAGCATTCTGGGTAATAATGGATAAGCTGTTGGTGATACTGTAACCGATTAGCATTCTGGGTAATAATGGATATAGCGCTGTTGGTATTACTGTAACCCGATTAGCATTCACAGGTAATAATGGATAACGCTGTGGGTGATACTGCAACCCGATTAGCATTCTGGGTAATAATGGATATAGCGCTGTTGGTGATACTGTAACCGATTAGCATTCTGGGTAGCCCAATAATGGATAGCAGCTGTGGGTGATACTGTAACCCGATTAATTCTGGGTAATAATGGATAGCGCTGTTGGTGATACTGTAACCGATTAGCATTCTGGGTAATAATGGATAGCAGCTGTGGGTGATACTGTAACCGATTAGCATTCTCGGTAATAATGGATGCGCTGTTGGTGATACTGTAACCCGATTAGCATTCTGGGTAATAATGGATAACGCTGTGGGTGATACTGTAACCCGATTAGCATTCTGGGTAAGAATGGATAACGCTGT